TGATTTATGTCGTTGTATTAGCTTATTAATCTCTTTCCTTTTTGTTTCATCTAAATGATTTACTTTTATTTCAAATTCTTTTTCTTTAATATGTTCGTTAAAATTTATTTTATATTCCTTTTCATATTTGTTAACCTCGTTTTATCTCTTGATTATTCTTTCTTCTTTTTTAATATTTTCTTGTTGAAAATATAGTTTTTGAGTAGTTTTTAACTTTTCATTTTGTACTAACTTGTATGTTTTTATCATGTCTAATCCTATTAAGAAATCATATCTGAAATGCGCATCATCGATAATGTAAACATCCACTTTTTCTTCTATTTCGAAAATTTTAATTTTTAGCTTCGTCAAACCACAAGTTTTTTTAACACCATTAATTGTAACTAAATTTTGTTCATTTACATTATTATTCTCGTTTTTTAATTTTAGTAATTTGAAATTAATTAAAGAAACATTCGAACCTGAATCATACACTCCATATATCTATAATTTAGAATTTATTATGAGTTTGACTTTAATTAATGGTGTTACTATTAGTTTTTTTGTTTTGTTTCATTTAACTCTGCTTCAATCACTGAATTGTTGACATGTTTTATATATCTTCTATCAAATTTATTATTATCTCTCATTTTAAACCAACATGCAGCCTCTGGATGGTAGCGTATACCTTTATTTAACCGTTCACATATTTTGCATGCAGTACGTTCCTTAATTTTGTTATATATCTCTTGTCGTTATGGAGGTCACACAATATACATTTGACTTTCCATCACTCGCTGGCAACACTGCAAATTCAAATCGTAGCTGGTCCATTTTATAATTCATTTAGGTTTCTCAATAAACGGAAATGTCGTTTTATAAGAATTTCGATTATATTTTATGATTCAAACAAACAAATATGTTGCTTCTGAAAACAAAGTTTCTATTTTGCAAAGACCACTGTTGAACTTCATAGGCCTACGCAATATAAAATATCAGCTAGTAAAGTTGTATATCGGAAAAAATTTTATGACATTGGTAATGTTTCAAAGACTTGTGCATCCAAGTTTGTTGACCACCTTGAGTCAATTGATGTTAAAGTTTTGTCATGCTACCCTGTATTCAAGAGAAGAGATGACAAAATAAAACTTGATGAAAACCACCCTTCTACGTCATTCCGGTTGTGTGTAGATGAGAAGTATGCTGAAATAGTTGAAAGATCAAGTTCTTGGCCTGATTATGTTCAGGTTAGGAATTGGGTTTTCAATAACAACAGCAAAAGTGGCAGCACCAGAAATGCCGATGTCAATGTCAGGACATGTTCTGATGTGAAACGATGATATGTAACTAGCGTCATGTTTTATTTGCAAACTTTAAATTTATGATTTGTTAATTTGACTTAGTTTTTTTTTCATATACCCGCTTTTTTTAATATTGTATATTCGTTTAATGTACATTGTGGATAAACTGTTGAATTTTGACAATCATTTCTTTAATTTATTGTTACTGGATTTTGAGATATATATATATATATATATATATATATATGTTGGTAATAGACACATATATATATATATATATATATATATATATATATATATATATATATATATATATATATATATTAGGAAGAAGACCAAGTTCTATACAGTTGTTCAAAAAATCCACCGACGATTCAGCATTAACAAGTTTTATGGTTGATTTTCTAATATTTTGAACTAGTTCTTTACAATTAAGTCTATTCAAAATGTTGAAATCCATTTTATAATCGTTTATGATTTTAATTGTTAAAATTAATCAAGCAAGATCCCATTTTTATAATCGTTTATTTTTTATATTATTATTAAAGTTATGAATAGATCTATTTCGACGTAAAGTCATCATCAGTGCAATATATATTTTAAATAAATTCTATTAATAGTTAATTAGTTGTATTTTTTAATATATTAAAATAAAATAAAAGTAACGAAATAAAAGCGCAAAGGTTCATTGAAATTAGTAAACAAAATATTTGAAATTATACGATTGTTCATGCTACGTGGCCGTTGTCAAGATGGCAACCAACAATGTCACAAATTTGAAGCGCGAAATTAATTAGAATATCGTTTCTATTATTATTATTATTATTAATATTATTAATTATTATTTTTATTATTATTATCATTATTATTATTATTATTATTGTTATTATCATTATCGTTATCATTATCATTATTATTATTATTATTATTATTATTATTATTATTATTATTATTATTATTATTATTATTATTGTTATTATTATCATCATCATCATCATTACCATTATTATTATTGTTGTTGTAGTTGTTGTTCTTTTTATTGTTGCTGTTGTTGTTGCTATCGTTGTTTGTATTGTTGTTGTCGTCGTCATCATTGTTATTAAAAGTATTATTATTATTATTATTATTATCGATGACGTAAAATATAG